GAATGATTACATATGGGCAGCAGCCATCTGAAAAAAAAATAAAAAAAAAAAATAAAAAAATTAGATTGACAAATATATAGACAAAAGAAAGGTTTTATTCAGGATCAGAAAAGTCCACTAGATCCTGGAGTCCTGACCTCTATAATTCAGGCTGTAAGACAGCATCCAGATATTCCTACAGGGAGCAAAAAAAAGCAGGGCATTCACATAATTAATGCAGATGTTGGCAAGCTTTTATAAGGGCTACTAATTCATTCCTATGACTTCCTCTCTTCCTCAAGGGTTCTTATACTTGACCTGTTATTACCACATGGTCTTTAACCAAAGAATTAAAGCCAGATGTCTTGTAGCTAGGTCTCCCTTTGTTAAGTATTGCTTATAAATCACTTTTTTTCTATGCAACAGAGAGATCCAACATGAAAACTTTTTAAAATTCTTAAATAATTAAGGCTGAAAGGTTTCTAACCTAAGAGTTGATGTATCCTAAAGGAACAATAAAAGTTTTATAGTCGCTGTGCTCAGAAATACTATTTACTCTAGCTTTTTATTATCCTGGGTCTGCAAATGTTTCTGATTTATGTTTAGGTTGGAGGTAAAATAATTCTAAAAAGACCTTTTTCTTTAATATAAATCTAGATGTTATTTAATGCATTTGGGAAATAGATTGAAAGTTTTGTATGTTGCTTTATTGGAGTTGGCTTATTTGTGTTGACAAACAGGGGGAAATGACAGGAAACAGAAATAGCTTTGAGCAATTCTAAGGAAATCTTGATCATATACTATTTTCACTATAGTCCAATTACTAATTCTCTTCAACTCTGTACATTTTTGGTTTAACATGAAGGTTAGGTTAACTTGCAGCATTTCTTGCAGAATGGCTGGAGCTGTCCAAAACATAGAGTTTTGTTTGCATATTTTAATAGGAAGAAATTTTTATCTTTTACTGGTGTTATTCTGTTCTTTGATTTGCCTTATTACCTGGCTTATTACTAAAAATGCCCCTCTTTTTTTCGTAAAAAATCAAGTTTAATCAATAGAGTTTCACAGCCATAAAAGCAGGGTGTCCAAGTATTTCAAACTGTGTTTAGAAATGAGGCTGATGGAAAAAGAATAATGCTTGCAGAAATACAGTGGCATGCTTCCTGTATTGTTTATCAACGCACTTCCTGCTTTGTGGACAGACACAGCCCCTGGCCCTGGCAAATCACAGACTTTGAGCATATTGACAATCTTAATTTAGGCTGTTCTAGCTAGTGTTTAGGACAGGACAAGAAGGAATGTCCCTGATAGAGACCTGAATGAGTTAACACTTGCTCAAAAATTTAATCCGCTTTTCCTTGGTTTTGAGGAGCTCTTTCTTTAACACTTTTCCAGCTAAACAACAATTTTATGCACTGATAACATAAATAAGGTGTCCTGTAACAGAGTTAACTTTTCTTCATTAAAAATTGCATGCCCTTCTAAGTGAATTTTTCAGTATGTCTCCTTGGCCAAGAAGCTCATTTGCTGTGCAATTTACAGCTACGTCAGAAATCATGTGGGCTCCCAGAGCAGATGGAAGCATTTTAGGTTGTCTCTAATCTGGTTGCTGTTACTAGACTCCTCGAAGCAATTGTTTAAGAGTTGTTGAATTCCATTTGGTCTGAAAAAAATGAATTTGTTCTGTAGCATGTTCCATTCCTGTCTCCTTGCTGCTCTCTGTGCGTGTCTTGTCCTTGGAGGCAATCCTATGTTTTCAGTTCTGATGTCATTCTTTTTTCTTTCTTTTCTCCCCTCTTCTTTCAGTCCACAGCCATGAGCGAACCACAGTGCTACTACAATGAAACCATTGCCTTCTTTTATAACCGAAGTGGAAAATATCTAGCCACCGAATGGAATACTGTCAGCAAGCTTGTAATGGGACTGGGGATTACCGTCTGCATCTTCATAATGCTGGCCAACCTCTTGGTTATGGTGGCTATTTATGTCAACCGCCGATTCCACTTTCCTATTTATTACTTAATGGCCAACTTGGCCGCCGCAGACTTTTTTGCAGGGCTGGCCTACTTTTACTTAATGTTCAACACAGGGCCCAACACTAGAAGACTGACTGTAAGCACCTGGCTTCTCCGTCAGGGTCTCATTGACACTAGCCTGACAGCCTCTGTAGCCAATTTGTTGGCCATTGCTATTGAGCGGCACATCACAGTTTTCCGAATGCAGCTACATACTCGGATGAGCAACCGGCGGGTGGTGGTCGTCATCGTTGTTATCTGGACTATGGCCATCGTCATGGGTGCCATACCAAGTGTCGGATGGAACTGTATTTGTGATATAACTCACTGCTCCAACATGGCCCCACTCTATAGTGACTCCTACCTGGTCTTCTGGGCTATTTTCAACCTGGTCACTTTTGTGGTCATGGTGGTCCTATATGCTCATATCTTTGGGTACGTCCGCCAAAGGACTATGAGAATGTCCAGACACAGTTCTGGACCCCGCAGGAATCGAGACACCATGATGAGCCTCCTGAAGACTGTGGTCATTGTGCTTGGTAAGTGCTTGCTTTGCCTCCCCTGTTCTTCTCCCTCTGTTTCTTATCAGGCGATTTCAGTAATATATGTGAGGCTTCTGGAAAGTCAACAGCATTTAGAAGACACTAAAAGAGGTGGAGGCCATAAGAACCTCCACCATTCATTACTGTGTTGGGAATATCAAGCTCATTTATGGAAGCAGGTAGCAGCAGCTTGTTGCTCTTTAACATGAAAGTGATGAAAAATCCACGACCTCCAGGTGTAAAGAGGTGGATTTTTGCAGCAATGCAACCTGTCGTAGCGGAGTTCTATCCTGTGCAGAGTTCACCTTTTGCCTTTGGAGATGCCAAATGGCTACAGCCTTAAAATAATTAAGAGGAAAGAATAGGTCTTCCACTGTAGTGCCTCTTATCTCCTTTTTGCCCCCCAAAGGGTGTTGTGTGTTATAAAGCAGCGTTCCCATGTCTAAAGAACAATCAGGGGCTACAGGCTATTGATGAAGAGATTTGTGTGTTACGCAGGACTGTATGTACAGTTTGCTCAGATCTGTAATGTTTGCCACATATGAGTATCTGCCAATTTTCTAATACAGAAAAGTCACTTGTGAAGCACTGGTGTGCTTGAGCACACTGCTTAGGAGGGGCCTAAGCTACAGGGCTTGGAAAACAGGGAAACATGAGACAAATATAATGAAAAACTTTGGAGTCTGTTTTGTGGATGGCTTTTTGTGGTATTTGGGTTTTGTCTGGGGCTCTCAGTTTCCTTATGCAAAAGCACAACCTGGATACTGGTGAAGTTCTTTGCAGTTTGTTCTACTCTTTGTTTCTGGAGATGAGAATGAGCTGCAAGCAGGCAGGTTTGGTGCCAGTTGTCTCCTTGTCCTAGACTGTGTTTCTGCCCATGAGGTTCTCCAGCACAGTGCACAGCTCTGTTGGGATCCTAGCACCCTGTTGCATTATGCAGGTGCTCTGGTAGCCCATAAATGCAACTGTACACAGTCAGCAAAGCCTAAAACTAAGCTCTGGTTCCTGCTTTGACATTCTGATTTCAATGGGTTTACACCATGACTTGTGCTTTCAAGCAGTTACTGTGTTCACAAGTGCATCAGAATAGTTGCAAACATTTTATATGAGTCACTATGTCAACTCTTGTTAGTTCAAGACTACGTGTTGCTCTCTGACTAGCTTTGTGACCAAAACGTGAACTGTGTAGTTAGCTACCTTGTTCAGCCATTCATAAGTCGTATTGCTACAGGTCCTGCTCTTCTCAGGGAAAGAATCCCTGAGTTCTGTTCGGGAGGTTGGAGCAGCGGATAAAACCTCTTCTGACTGCCTAGTGGTTTGGAAATCTGTACCTCCCCAGCACTGTGATCTTCCTCACAGTGCAAAGGCAAATTATGTTAAGAACACAAATTCAAGGTTTGCAGTCTTCTTTTTGGGAAATAAGTCCCTATTTTCCCTCCTGAATGAAATGCTGTTCATAGAGCAGTGGAGTTTTCCTGTTAGGGGCAAGACTGGCTCAGACTTAGTAAGCACTTGCACGGCTGCAGTGCAGAGTTGCAGGAATAAATAAATGATCACTGAATAAATAGGACATGGCAGCTAATCTCAAGCCCTTATGGAACTAGAGATATGTATGCAGATGGAAGGGTAGGTAGTGACTGCAGCCTCCTCTGTTCTCCTAGTAGCCTAGTGTGGCTACAGTGGTAGAGGTGTACACAGAACATAAAAGTATCCCTTTTTTCCCCTAGTAAGTAGCCTTTTTTTTCCAGATACTTTTCTGGAAACAGCGGAAGCACTCCAGAGGTTAAGTAGCATTAGCCAAACTGAAAGTGACTCAAGTTTAGCTGCTGATGTAGTTAAGTAATAACTCTGATTCCTCACTGGGGCTCTTTGGAGTAAGACTTTTTGGAACTCCAGGTAGCTTATTTTGAAGATTTCTTCAAAATTCCAACAGAACCTTATTTCTTGTTATTGGTGCAGTTAAATTCATTCCATGTTGTGAACACAGTGTGCTTTAGCACCTTTTCTAATCTGCATGAAATATCATTCATAGAGAGAGGTAATGTACTATTTTATTAAATCTGTCTCGAGAAAACAGGCAGTCCCAGGTTGTGACATTCTTATTCCTGTGTTTGGATCTCCCATTTCATCATTATTTTGAAAAGGTGGTTTGTTTTTTTTCAAAGCAGCTTGGTTTCTTTTGTTGGAGGAGATCAGTCATAGGACTGTAGTGTAAAGAAGCAGCAACCTCCTGTGAGGCACAGTTTCAAAATAAAAATGAGTGGAAAACAGCTGTGGGTTTGGTTTTTGGTTTTGTGTTGGTTTGGGTTGTTTTGTTTGTTGGTTTTTAATAAATAATAAAATTATAAAGCAATGAATAAGAATTTTCTTAAGTAAAAAAAAAAATCACCTACAGCCACAAATCAGGCCTGAAGGCAACCACAGGGACTTTGGGGAGGTTAAATGTTTGTTAGGGTGTTAAGCAGAGTGCTAGATGAACCATGAGACTCGCTCATTAGTTGCCATCACCTGACAAGTGCCATCCTGTATTACTGAATTTGCATTTCCAATGGAGGATTGTTCCCTGGTTCTAAAAATAAAAGCAGCGGTATGGGGATATCTCAGTTTGGAGTAGATGGTGTGGTCAGCCTGTTGATCAGAAGGGAATCCTGATGCTCTGGCACAGCTTGCAGTCTGCTTGCAAGTCTGGCTTAAAATTTTGTAGACAGAGAAGACAACAGTTCTGCGCTTCCCGAGTGCCCTCTTACATAGATAGTCCATGCATGGTGCTACAAGTTTATCTCCTTCACCTTTGGGAAAGGCAGAAAGGTGAGTGTCATAGGCTGCCTGGAGCAACTTGCTAAACTTTTATCAAATGTTATCTGACTTTCTGTGCATCAGTGAACCTCAAGTAGCACAGAGAGGGAAAGACCCCCTACCTTAATGGTGCAGATCACGCTAATACATACGTTGCTGTTTGAGGCAGAAACCGACTTTTTTTGCTGGAGGTGGAGAGGGGAATCTTAAGAATACGATTGCTTCATATTCAGTTTATTCTTATGATCCCTGTCCCTCCTCTCCTGCCCCAGAGCTGAGTAGGAAAGGGAGCTGGTGTGTGTCAGCCCACAAACCCAGGAGGAAGCAATTCGTTTCGCCTTGGGAACCAGGGAAATGCAGAGCTGGAAGTCTGAATAAACCTATGAGCATTGGCAGAGGGAGGCAATCCAGTCTGTCTTAGGATCTTTGTTAAAATGCTGATCAGCTATAAGTAACACCGTTTGATTTGGGCACCAATGAACTTGTTCGTTTGACTTTTAAACTAACATAAACGGGTGAACTTGTGCTGCTGGCTGTAGTCCCAAGCAAAGCCTCTCTGCGGCAAGCAGAAGATCGTCTTTTCCCCCGTCCCCATGCACGCTACGTTTTCGAGGGGCAGGAGGAAATGAACACAAGAGCTTCTTGTTTGCTAGCCGCCTAACACTGCCTGCCCCCCTCGCTGCTCGCTGCCTTGCTCCGGGGGAAGAGCCGGCGGGGCGGGGCGGTCCCTCCGGCAGCGGGAGCGCCCGGACAGCGGCCCGGACAAGGGCTGATTGTGAGGGAGGGACCGCGCTGGCTGGAGCGGTCGGGATCTGGCACACTGCGTCATCCGGGTGGGATGCTGAGCCCTCGGAACAAGTCAAAAGCAGAGATGATGATTTTTTATTATTATTATGGTTTTTTTCCATGCCCTTTTTTTTTTTTTTTGTCTTGACTAAAATATTTTAAACAGAAGGAAGTGATTTCATAGTTGAGCCCTTTTTTTTTTTTTTTTTTTTTAACAAAGCTGTTTTTGAAATCTTTTGACAGTAACAAGGAACATGAAGCTCTTTCTCTAGAGCATGCCTTTCCTTCATGCTGGGCTAAGGCTGGACTGATCAGTGTACCACACAGGGGCATCATACCAGGTCTGGTTTGGCTGGCAGCTCAGTGACACTTTGCCTTTCACCACCACCATGTGTGACATTCAAATGAGCAGTCACAGGAACAGGCAGAAACCTAGCAGATCCAACAGCTGAAAGTTGGCATCCTCTATTCCATCCTCCACATTTTCTTATCTTGCGTTTAAGGACAAAACTGTTTTTTCTGGTGGAGGTCGTAGTTAGACTGAGTACATTTGGCGTAGCAGATTTGGCCTCAAAATGGATGACAGTATCTGAGTACTGTTCTAAAAAGCAGTGAAAGCACCAAAAGAGGATCTCAGGGCTGAAAAAACTTGCCCTGCTCTGGATTTCCATAGCTTGGAATAAGTCATGATGGTCTCTTCGGATGTCTTTTCTTCCTGCATTTTAGGTAACTTAGATCATTACTCTTGAAAGGTTAGCATGTTTATTCTCCTGCCAAAATGCGGATTAAACACCTACCCTTAATGTATCAGTTGTGTTTTTACAATGTGGATGACTCTTCACTATACCTCCATATGCATCTTTGGGCATTCTTCTCAATTTGGACATTAGATAGTGAGATTGTCATACTGAGGTTTTATTACTGAATTTTTAAAAAAATAATAGCAGCAACACTTCTTAAGTGTATTTTATCAATCCTGCCAGTTAGCCTTCTGTGTTGGATGAGTACTCAAGAGTGTTTGGCCAAAATTAGGTGTGCCTGTTGAGCTGACCACCACAGCTAGCACCCAGGACACAGGGAGAGTAAATGATAAATTAATGATCACTTAGCTTTTTTAGTCTGCCTGGGAACTAAAAAGGCACTTTGGTTTTTCCTGTCCGTGAGACCATCCGCTTTGTTTGGAGGAATGTGGTTTATTCTGTAAAGATTTGGAAACTAATGTGGGTACAGATAAAAAAGTGAAGGTTCTTTTTGTATAAACTGTTTTGATTTAAGGGAGTCTCACTGTGTTTCAAGACAGTCCTTTACTTATTACAAGGCAATAAATGCAAGGAAAACATCTGGAAGTTCAGTATAAACATCTGGAAGGATGGAACTGCTCAGCAACAGCTTTTTTTCCTGCCCTCTCTTTCTGC